TTGAATTTTGCTTATTTTATTTTCATAGTCAAAAATAATTGCTAGAAAATAGTCACAGCAATTCAAACCCTGTTGCTAACTTACTTAATAAATGAATACTATTCTTTCACATATTATGTTCACATATATATATTAATTGTGAATTTGTACTAAAAACGTACATGCTTCATAATTAAAGAAGGTTTGTAGAAATTTTTATGTATTTCAAAAATGTTTAACTTTTAACTTCTTCACATACTATATTTATATTTTCACAAGGACAAGGTACAAGAGCTTCTTAGGTATACAGCTAGAATAATTTTATAATATATTATTTATTGTTTTAATGATCAAATGTTTCTACTGATTATTTTTATTTTTGAAACGAACCAATTAATCAGTTGTATAAATAATATTTTCACCAATAAAAAATTATAAAAATATAATATTAAAATTATAATATAAAATTATAGTCAAAATATTGGTGAAAATATTATTTATACAACTGATTAATTGGTTCGTTTCAAAAATAAAAATAATCAGTAGAAACATTTGATCATTAAAACAATAAATAATATATTATAAAATTATTCTAGCTGTATACCTAAGAAGCTCTTGTACCTTGTCCTTGTGAAAATATAAATATAGTATATAATATATATATATATATAGTATATATATAATCTTATATTATTATTATTATATATATATATATATATAGGAATTATATATTTATTGTATGTGATATATTGTAAATCTTTTTGTCTTTTTGAACACTTGAGCACAGAATTGTATATGCGTCAAATTGGTGCTTTAAATCTTAGTTCTGCAAATAAAATTAAGAAAATCATGTGAGATAAATAAATGAAACAGTGGCGTAAGCTATTATGGATTTGGAAAAATGCGATAATAATGACTTCTTTAGTTGAAAACAGTTATTTCAGTGACCCAAGCCGTTTAACTGAGATTACTACCGGCGTAGTTAATGGCATAGCAGGGTTTATAATGCAATTGTATTTAATCTTAAAATGTAATGACTGCAAAAAACACTAAGATGGTGAAAAAGTGAGCAGTTCCATTCTTTCTTATTAATTGAAGGATCCTTAAAAAACTGTTTGTTACTGTACTTAATGTCATGTAAGCAATATTCATGTAAAATTAATACGTAGTTTTATTAGCGCCTGATATTGAATACGGACTTAATTAAATATTTTTGTATTTGTGTTAAACAGTCCTTATTAAAAAATTACATCGATTTTGGTATAAATATATTTTTAATCTTAGTGGTGAATACACAAATGTTTTAATTAAGAACACAATTATGTTACATTCATTGTATACATTAGTATAATTTCAAATAATTTATTACGTTTTGCAACACTGCCGCTATAAATCTATCGATATAGTTTGTTGTTATAACAAAGTAAAAAGGAAAGTTTTTAATATAATACAAATCGAATTAAAGGTATTCAAGATAACTTCAGAAAAGGATATGACACCTAAATACAAATTCGCCGAAGGTGATATATTGATAAAATTTATTCAAATTTTCTTTTAAATTTTGCAATTTTGTAATAAATTAGGCGAAAAAGTACTATGTTTCCATGGTCCTTTAATATATGAAGCCAAAGCATTAAAATGCTCTGTAAATAAGGATAAACAAATCAAATATTACATACATTATGCTGGTTGGAATAAAAAGTATGTTTATTATATATTGTAATGTTCGAAAATATTCATATTATAATAATCTGCAGTTGGGACGAATGGGTACCAGAAAACCGTGTTCTTAAGTACAATGACGCCAACGTTCAACGGCAAAAAGAAGTCTTTAAGCAGCATTCCTCAACAGCAAGCAAAAATAAAAAGGGTTAGTTAAAAATAAAACAAAAAGAAGTTTGTTAACTTTTATTTTTACAGCAACACCAAAAGGAAAGAAGGGTGAAACTGTATTAACAACAGCGAAGGATGGTGCTGTCAGCAGTGGAGGTAGTGAATCACGGGCTTCAACACCCTCAAAAGAAATTACTGCTACTTCAGCTCCTACACATGCTTCCTCCAGTCGTTTAAACCGCTCTAAAACTACACCTAACAACGGTGCAAAGGAATTTGAATCATCCAAAAAAGATGATAACAAAGACGAATCAAAAGATGAATCAATAAAAGAAGAATCACATAAAAAGAAACGTGGGGGCTCAACTTCCAGTGCTATTGAAAAATCCAGTAACGCTAATGCTGTATTGCCAAGTAGTAGTTCTGGAACGAATAGTGGCACTGTGAATCGTTTTGATGCACACGTAGAAACTGAAGAAACGTTTCTTTCTAAAGTGGAAGTTAAAATTAAAATACCTGATGAGCTAAAGCAATGTCTTGCAGACGATTGGGATGCAGTCACACGGCAACATAAACTGATTGCTATTCCAGCAAAGATAACAGTTCAAGATATAGTTGATCAATATATTACTTTTAAAAAAAATTCTAAATCGACAAATGCTTCTAAAGAAGTAGTAATAAATGATGTACTAACTGGCGTTATTGAATATTTTAATGTCATGCTTGGATCGCAGCTTTTGTATAAATTTGAGCGACCACAATATGCTGAAGTTCTGCAACAGAATCCAGATACACCATTATCTAAGTTGTATGGCTCATTTCACTTACTTCGCTTATTTGTAAAGTTGGGATCGATGCTCGGATTTTCCGCATTAGATGAAAAATCGATGCAAGCACTTTTAGTACAAATACATGATTTTCTTAAGTTTTTGGTTAAAAACAGTGCAACATATTTTAATATGTCGAATTTTACAAATGTGACAACGGAATATCATCGTAATACTCAATGATTTTAAATTATTTTAACATCTGATGGAAATTTTTGACGAACATTAAATAATCTCTAATCATGGTACTTGTAAAATTGTAGAAATATGTCTTATTGAATTTTAAAATGTTTAAAATTCATTAACAATGCTTTTATGCTTTCCACACTTTGGGAAAGCTACCCTGACTATTGTGAAAATATGATAAGGGCACATTTTATACATTAGACAACTTATAAATCCACTCTTTACATGGCTAGAATAAGAACGTAACTAACAAAATATTATGTTAAAATAAAAATTTTCAACAATTAATTAATGGTAAAAGTGCTTTGTTTTATTTATTATGTTAATTCTTCATATCCGATTATATTATTATATAATATATATATATATATTCTTAGTAACACACATCTTACATATTTTATTAATTACTTAAGTCTGTTTTCAAACATGTTTCTGATGTAATTTATTCGTTATTCTTGATGTTTTAATTTTGGGACTCATCATCACTACTACTGCTTGTTGGATAAAAGTCGCGATAGTCTTTGGGTTTTTCTCGAGCAGATATTTCTTCGTTTAAATATTCATTTTGAACTTTAAGTATTTCCTCACTTGACTTGCATGAAGCATATTTATTTAAGAGTGTGTCATTCAATTCAAGAAATGAGTGGCCCCATGAAAATTTACCCATGTACCATTGCGCTTCTCTCTTAAAACCACATATGTAGAGTGTAGCCGCAATGGCTTCAACACAACTCAATTTACATGGCTTTCCATAATTGATGGGATTAGCTGCTACTAAATATGGCAATAAACGTGGATTGGGGCTACGCATACGACTAAATGGTGTTTCGTCAAGTTTTGCCCAAGAGCAGTCAACTACAGCTACACCAGCTGTAACGATGATATCGCGATCAGCAGGACTTACACAATTAACACCTACGGGCGTTAACACTAATCCAGAAAATTTCTGCCCTAAACGTAAGTTTTCAATTAAACCTAGACGTGACAGTTTTCTGCCTGAACATTTTTTTGGATCACAATGATTGAGGTCCCACATGGCAACAGGAAAATTAGGTGATACTCCATGGCTTTCTATGTCACATGATGCCTCAGAACTGCTAGTTGAACTTTCGTCACTGTCTTCTGCTAATTCACATTCACGTTCAGCCAAATTACGTTCACAGTTCCGATTAGATTTCACATTTTTGAAATGGCTACCACGTCTTTTTCCTCTACAATTATTTCGTTTGCTGCTCATTTTGTACACAACTTGTCAACAAAATAGTGAAGTTCAATTTTTAAAATCAAACAGCTGTTTTGAGGAAAATAATCAACGTGAGTTTAATGTGATGCGACACTGTTCTGTTGTTCCGAATATGGAACTCAACTTGTTGTATAATACACTCTTAAGATATATTTTATAGGCAATGAGCGCAATAAATACCGCAATTTTGGTTTTTGACTTAAAACAAATTTGTTAAAAAGGTAGTAATTTCTTGTGTAGCAAATATTTAATGAATTTTGTGTTATAAGCAGTTTTTAATAACTTTTTTTTTAAAGATTGTGCTATGTTTGTATACATTTATAATATTTATTTAAAAAATTGATGAATTCAATGACCAGAAAATTGGTTTAAATTTACTGATTTTGGTGGGCTATGATGTCCATTTAATTTTTATTAAAAATAATTACATTCGGTTTATTTATATATAAATTGTATTTTATTTACTGAAAATAATATTGATATATTGGACATACATATGTCCAATATTGTTGACCAATATTTTGGCCAACATATATGGGTATCTTATAGCATAATCACACTGTCTCATTTAGGCGGTTTTGCTTATCATAGCCACTAATGATGATGATTTACCATAAAATGAGTTCTGTCAGCTGCATAAATGAGCTCATTATTATGTGAACGGTCACTCATTAATATAAATATAAATAAGCAACAACAAAATGTACTAAATAAATGTAACGACCTTACGCGATCCCTACCTATATTTACAAATTATGTGGTTATGTGGTTATTTTAGTGTTGAAAAATAATATAAAAATTATGCAAATGGCTACACAAAAAAAAATGAATTTCACCGAATGGATCGACAAATTGTGAATTTAAATTTGGCATCACTAACAATTACAGCTGGTTTTGTTCGCAAACAAATTGTATATTCTTATACATATATTTTTATACATATTTTATATTTTATAATATATGTTACATTTTTATTATATTTTTAATATTTTTTTGCGTAAAACAGATTTATTAAAATAATTTAAAAATTAAATTATAAAGTGTTTGTTTTTTTTTAGGTATTTTGTATACAATTGATTTTTAAATTTAAATTGAAATTTCTCTGAAATTACGGAAAAAAAGAACAGCTGATTGTATAAAAATAACCAGATAACTCTCGTTAAAATCTGTTCGCATTGCACATAGACTATTTTTAATTTCATAACCACATAATCCGATAACCAGTGTTTCGTGAATACCGTATATATGTCTTATAACCATTGTGTTTAAGTATCACAATTGCACTTCTATTATGTTTTTATATAAATATATGTAACAATAAGTGTTTTCGATGGTTCGCAAGTATGGCAAAAACAGCACGTTGCTGGCCTATACTGATTGAAATGTACGCAAAACAACATTATTTTCTCACTGCTGGCTTATATGCTGTTCAGACACACCTTAGTTTCGCAAAAATCTTAGTTTCATCTTCGTTTCAGCGAAACTAAGTTGTTTTTTCCATACAAAACTTAGTTTCAATGTCAAAACGAAACTAAGGAAAATAGCCTTAATTTCGCTGAAACGAAGCATGAAACTAAGGGAATTTTCAAATGCAACTATGTTAAAAACAAATTTTAAGCAAAAGATAAAATTGAGATAACGAAAAAGTGACATGTATTTTTAAAAACAGTTGACTTTAATAAAACCGGGAAAATATTTTGAATAAAATTTAAACAGTTAAGCATTGGCGATGGAGAAGAAAGGTACGGTTGGACCCAAGCAGCAGAAAATGCACTTTTGGAGGTTTTGGAGTGCAATATGGAAGGCTTTCGTAGTGCACGCAAGAACGGGCATGTGCATAAAGAAATCAGCGATGCATTAAATCAACTCGGGTTTATGCTCAATCCCAAAGAAGTGCAAACGAAAATAAATAACATGACCTCAAAATTCAGGTATTTGGAATTAACGTAATGAAGATAATAATAATCAGGATGTTGGTTTTTATCAATATTTTTCAGCTCTTTTAACCATTGTGCATTAATGTGGTCGTTTTCATTTAAAAAATTGTGCAGCACACAACAAGCACTCACAATTATATTTGCATTATTAATTCTATTGTCCAAACCCTTTCCTATTCGTCGAAATCGTGCTTTTAAGTGTCCAAATGCATTTGCAACAACCCTCCTACATTTCGAAAGTTTCTAGTTATAATTTTTTTTACAAGCGGCATATCAACATTAAATTCCATATGTAAACAAAAAACATATGATTTCCTTAATTTGGGCAGTATGAACACTTTCGAAACTAACTTAGTTTCATTTTTCCGAAACTAAGGAAATTTGGCTGTCTGAACATAGCATTACGCCGTATGCGAGTTCGAGTAAATTGATAGTAAAGTAAATTGTAATTTCCTTGGGATTTTTTGCATTGGACTTATGTAAATATTTATTCATTTATTTATTGCACTTATTTATCATTTTTGGATAAAAGTTTTCGAATAATAAGTAGCTCAAATCACATAGTTGGTAAGACTAATAATTCGTCTATTGTGAATGATTTTTGGAAGTTATGTACAAAATTTCTAGTTAACTGTCAACAAATATTTGATTAACAATACTAATAGTTTTCAATTTACTACTATTTTCTGTCAACATTGAAAAAGCCGGAAAATACAAATTTTATTCACAATCTTGGATAAAAAAAAATTTTTTTTCATCCATAATTGCAAAGAATTATTATTCATTTTTAAAATTTTTATTTTAAATTTTATTACGTGTTTTGCATATATAAGCCAAACAAATTTACCAATTCTTCCAGAATAGCCATCAAAAGTAATGTTTATTTTATGTTGTTCTTTTGTGATATGCTTACTAAAGAAAAGGCCTGATATTAAAATAACGTATATAAAACAAAATATTACACACTAGTCTTGAGAATACGGTTAATCAGCTGAATTGCTAACGACATTTATATACCAGAGAATATCATATAAGAACACAGATAACTTTTTTTTTGAGAATACGGACAGAATTTTCTCTCGAAAATTTATTTTTTATTACAATTTTGACACATGTTTTAAATTGGTGTGACTACACCCCACTAAAGTCAGATTAAGGGCAATTTTATGCAGTGTGTCTTGGGCACGACAAAATTCGCTCTTTCGGGCTATGCCGAAAATGTGTGTTGTGCAAAGTGTCACATCAGTATTGCCAATTTTGTATTTTTACTACTTCTTGGTACTTCGTGGTACTTCTTGGTAGTGCCTAAATTTAAATTATTTAAATTTAAATTAAATAATTGTTAATAGTACTAAACAGTACTTAAGCCTTTCTTTAAAATCGGAAAGTGTAATAATTATATTAATAGCAACTTATTAAAAAAGGCTGTGTTGCTTATTGTCATTTATTCTCTAAAACGTATTAGAATTGTAGTAATTTGCTCCTAAAAGGCGCAAATTTTGAAATTTTTTACTAAACAACACTGTTTTGTCTTAGTGCCGGGCCACAAATACGCCGGCTCTCATGCCGAAGTTTGAACGGGCATATTGTATTTTTTCTCATTCTCAAATTTAAAATTTACATTGAAAACAACAACAATTGTACTCATGTTGTGCCCGAGACACTCTGCATAACATGGCCCTAAGGGGTGTGATTATTTTTAATTATTTATAAAAAGTATTTTTTTACGTAGATAACTATATGAAAGCTTGTAAAAATACATATATATGTATATATAGTAGTAATCTTATTTACCTATTATTAAGGTAAATAGGTTGAATTAAAAATAATGTATTGATATTCAAAATGTTTTTATTAAATGCGTAAAGCATTTATTTATATAATTTTATCAATTATTTATACATTTTTAATGTGAGGAAAATAATTTAGAGAGTTATTTTCTTATTAGATAATATAAGTTTCTCAAATTTCAAATTTTAAAAATCAAAATCAAATAAATTAAACGTCTTCACTATTACATGGAGCATAGAGTTTATATATATGTGCATATTATTTCTATAGTGAAAAATAGATAGTATTTAATTTTAATTTAGTGCTTACTTCGAATAATTTAGTAATGATCATTTTATTTTACATACAATTTTATACAATTATCGATTCTCGATGGAAGTTAATTTTTAGTTGTAGGCACTAGCGCTTCTATAGACAATTTTATGTAAAAAATTAAATTGGTTCATCTTATTTGTGGGCGTTTTTGTTTTATTAAACAAATTTTTTATTTTGTTATAGTGATTTGATTTTTGGAAATTTTTAGAATAGCCAGGAATGTAAGTCATTGGTGTGAATAATTTCTGTTGGTGGTCCGATTTACTTATTTCAGTAGTTTTTGTTTTTTAAGCAAAGAATTAAAAAATTTGATGGAGAGATTCTTTTTGGTTAAAATATTATTATTATTATGATAAACATACGTCGGATCAACTTTAATGCTGTGATTCAATTTACATGAAAAGGATAAAGGGAATCAAAATTTATGTATTATTCAGAATTTGTTAGTTTTCGGTACCAATTTAGTTTAATTTTCATATATCTCTTTTACGTTTGTCAATGTAATTCAGTGATGCAGATTGTTTTTTAACAGAACGATTTGTCTGTGAACATTTGGAGTTATTAATGAAAGGTATATAAAACCAGGTCATGTACTCTCAATTTTTTTTTTTTTCAACTTAAACAAATACACTAACTGATAAGACTTTTGCACAGATTTAAACTAACTTCTTTTAAAAATATTTGAACAGTAAAAATTAATTAATGAAAATTAAAATAAAACCGCTAAGTAGGAATACGCAAAACTCATGAGAGTCGCAATAATGGTGAGGTCAAATGTCACAGAATATCAGGAGCCGCTATTTGCAAAGGTAATTAAATAGTAAATCTCGTCTATGTTGCATCCGTGGACACTTCTAGGTAGCTAGATAGAAAACAATTCAATTCGTAAATGTGATATATTCAAGTTAATAATGCTAACATGAATGTCAAAAATAAAGAATATAACAATTTGGCTACGAGAACAAGAACGGTAGAGGTGATCGAGTTATATTAAATAGAGGACAAACGATGTTGCATTTGGATCCAAGTTCTTACGTAATCGTTTGAGCCAAATGTGTTTTTATGCGCTTTTGATAGTTCAATAAATTTCAGATCTGTTGATGATAATGCTACGCTATTTTACTTGCCGCAAGACAAGTTAACTGTAGT